TATATATACACACACTAACATATACTATAACAAGTTATATATACGTTATAGTATTACAGTGAAGTGTCTGTGTGTGTGTGTGTGTGTGTGTGTGTAGATATATATATATATATATATATATATATATATATATATATATATATATATATGTACCGACAGACTTTTTTTGTCGCTTATAGTAATTAGTAAGTATATTAGTTGTAATTAACTTATAGATTGACATTACACTAAGTATTACTGCATTAGCTAATATCATATCGAATATAGCTTATATATAATTGATTCATCGACTTATAACCTATTATAATCTATTAAAAGTAATTACCAAGTTAATATAATTTTTTTTAAAGATTATGCTTATAGTTTTTAATTATTTATAATAATTGTAGTTAAATAAAATAAATATTTATAGCTAATAAGATTTTTTTATAGCTTATAATATTTAAAAACCAAAATAGAAAAAAAAGTTATTTAATTTTTTTTAGAAATAGCGACCAACTTTGGTCGCTATTTTGGTCCAACAGTCAAAAATAGCGACCAACGTTGGTCTCTATTTTGGTCAAACAGTCAAAACTTAACTAGCTACCAAAATAGCGACCAACGTTGGTCGCTTTTTTGTAAATCCGGACTCAAAAACGGGTTTCCCCCTCCCATTCTCTTATTTTCTTCCCAAAATTTGCCCAAATTCTCTCTCAACACATTCCCCTCCCCTTCTCTATTTCCCTCACACAAATCAATCCCCCCACCCCGCGCCACCACTGTGACCGCCTGAGCCACCGCCGGAGCCGCCGCTGCCACCGCTGCCCCTGCCCCTTTCTCTCCTTCTCCACCTAAAAAAACCTAGGTTTGAACTATAACCTTGAATCTTTGTTATTTCTAGTTTTTGTTTCAATTATTTCAATATTGTAGTTTAAGGATATGAATTAGTGTTTAAATTCTTTGAACATTGTTTTTATTGAGGATTAGGGTTTATGTCTTGTTTTATTTAGCTTTGTTAATTAATTTTATTAACTAATTAGTTTAATTGGTGTTGAATTTTTGGGTATGAATTGAAATTTTTGTTTATGAACTGAACTTTTAGGATATGAATTGAGCCTTTAGGATATGAATTGGACTTTTAGTTTATGTATTGGAATTTAGTTTATAAATTGAAATTTTAGGATATGAATTGAACTTTTGTGGGTATGAGTTGAACCTTTAGGATATGAATTGAAATTTTTGGATTATGTATTGGAATTTTAGTTTATAAATTAAAGTTTTAGGATATGAATTGAACTTTTGTGGATATAAGTTGAACCTTTGGGATATGAATTAAAATTTTTGTGTATGAATTGAAATTTTTAGGATATGAATTGAGCCTTTAGGATATGCATTGGACTTTTAGTTTATGTATTGGAATTTTAGTTTATAAATTGAAATTTTAGTATATGAATTGAACTTTTGTGGATATGAGTTGAACCTTTAGGATATGAATTGAACCTTTAGGATATGAATTGCACTTTTAGTTGATGTATTGGAATTTTAGTTTATGTATTGGAATTTTAGTTTATAAATTGAAATTTTAGGATATGAATTGAATTTTTGTGGATTATGAGTTGAACCTTCCGATATGAATTGAATCTTTAGGATATGAATTGAAATTTTTGGATTATGTATTGGAATTTTAGTTTATAAATTGAAGTTTTAGGATATGAATTGAACTTTTGTGGATATGAGTTGAACCTTTATGGTATGAATTGAACAATTAGGATATGAATTGGACTTTTAGTTTATGTTTTGGAATTTTAGTTTATAAATTGAACTTTTGTGGGTATGAGTTGAACCTTTAGGATATGAATTGAACCTTTAGGATATGAATTGAAAATTTTGGATTATGTATTGAAATTTTAGTTTATAAATTGAAGTTTTAGGATATGAATTGAACTTTTGTGGATATGCGTTGAACCTTTAGGATATGAATTGAAATTTTTGTGTATGAATTGAAGATTTAGGATATGAGATGATCCTTTAGGATATGCATTGGACTTTTAGTTTATATATTGGAATTTTAGTTTATAAATTGAAATTTTAGGATATGAATTGAACTTTTGTGGATATGAGTTGAACCTTTAGGATATGAATCGAACCTTTAGGATATGAATTGGACTTTTAGTTTATGTATTGGAATTTTAGTTTATAAATTGAAATTTTAGGATATGAATTGAACTTTTGTGGTTATGATTTGAACCTTTAGGATATGAATTGAATTTTTGTATATGAATTGAACTTTTAGGATATGAATTGAACCTTTAGGATATGAATTGAAATTTTTGTGTATGAATTGAACTTTTAGGATATGAATTGAGCCTTTAGGATATGAATTGAACTTTTGTGGATATGAATTGGACTTTTGTGGATATGAATTGAAATTTAGGATTGCGGGAGGATTTTGTAGAAGGGGTTGATGACTTTATTAGACAACACTCATTGACTTTTATACACTTTGAACTAGACAAATAGAATCGGTTTTTGAATGGGCTTGTAATAAGAGTTAACTTAGTTTGGTTCGCTTAATGTGGTAGTTCTATTGAACTATAAAACTTTGTTGGTTTTAATGTTGGTTTTAATGTTGTTTTTGTATTGTTGTTGTTGTTGTTGTTGTTGTTGTTGTTGTGTTGTTGTTGGTATTGTTGTTGGTATTGTTGTTGTTGTTGCTTGTAATAGGGATTTGATATGACTGCCAGGTGGTGCAGCTGCCAAAACAGGCAGTTTCTGCCAAAATAATACCCAGAAAAGCGACCAACTTTGGTCTCTTTTTGGTCGCTTTTCTATTAAAAAAAATAATTTTCTTGGGCAATAGCGACCAAAGTTGNCAAGAATTTTTAGCTGAAAAAAAAATATGATTTCTGTTTTTTTTCAATGTAATTTGATAAAACGGCCAAATAATATTTTCTTTCATCTCAATAAAAGTTGATGCATTAAAAAAAAACAATGTTTGGAAAAAAATTAAATTCTTGAATTTAGTGACCAACTTTGGTCGCTAATTTTTTAAAAAAAATTAGTAAAAGAGCGACCAACCTTGGTCTCTATTTTCCATATTTTAAAATATAATATTTGGATTAGAGACCAAAGTTGGTCGCTTTTTTATGATTAATAATAAATAAATAAAAACGTATTTTACATTTAGAGACCAACTTTGGTCGCCAAAATTATATTATTAAAATAATAAAGCGACCAAAGTTGGTCGCTATAGTCTTTACCCGGAATATTTGGTCCTTTACCTTAGAGACCAAAGTTGGTCGCTAATTAGCGACCAACTTTGGTCCCTAAAATAAAGGGACCAGCTATATTGCGACCAGGCATGTTTGATCGCTTTTTGGTCGCTTTTAGGCCTATAAGCGATCAACTTTGGTCGCTTTTTGTGGTCGCTTTTTACCGAATTTCTAGTAGTGAGTAACAAACAAATCACTTTAATGGAGGAAGGTATTACCTTTATAGCATTTGTTGTTGAAATCGGCAGTCAACAGAGAAGAGAGAGCTTAGAGAGTTCTAGAGAGTGAAAGACGAAGAAGAGAAAATGAATGAAATGGGTTTCTTTTGGGTTATATTTTACGGGTTATTTGGTTTGGGTATCTGGTAATATGGATCGGATCGAGTCTAATGATACTAGATGTAAAAGAGGAACGGATGAGTGCCACGTTTCCCCTCTGTCTACTTAAGGATAAATGTGTGCAAATAGTAAGACGGTAAGGAGTTTTATGGTTCGATAGTATAACGGGGGACAACTTTAAATAATTTATCATAGTAGAGGAACATATCGGACGCTTTTCCTTAAAAATATTGAACAAACGGCTATTCAAAATAAAGTTTTATCTCTTTTCTCATCCATCTTTTATCTCTTTTCTCACCAAAAGATGGAGGACAAACCAATTCAATGATAGAGTGAGAGAACAACTAATTTTCCTTTTCCTTTTAGAACTTTCAGTGGGAATATGTATTGATCATGACAATTGATTGTTTGCATTTTTGTATAACTCTAAATTGGCTATAATTTTTCCCTCTTTTCGGCTAAAAGACTTAGTGAAAATTTTTGTATGCCTTAGCATGTGTTTTTTGTACCCGCTGGGTTTTTTGAGGGTTCGACGTATCAGAACATTATTAGTAACTTGTTTGTCTAATGATAATCGAATACCTCTTGAGGTTTTTTCGAAGGCTGAAATTATTGAAGCCTTTAAATTATTCGAGGGCTGATTTTATCGAAGCCCTTTTTTGCTTTTACCGACGGTAGCCGAGTTTAACCGGTTTTTCGAAGTATTTGAAGGTCTTTAATTTATGGCGGAAGTCGGACGTCTCCGAGCCGCATTATTTCGGCCGTAGCCTTTTACATGACCGTAGTCTTTAATATGGCCGTAGCCATTTAATATGGCCGTAGCCTTCGGGTATGTCTTTTGGACTTGTTTCCCGATAACATTTCGAACTTGTTCGAAATGTTAATCCCCGAATGTGATGGCCTTGGTGTGTATACCGGGGGTGCCTCTTGAGGTCTTATTGTTTAGATAGCTCGGGTAGGTAGTCCCCGAGTGTTCGAGATATGCTTCCGTTTAGGTTAAGATAGCCCTTGGGCTTTCATATCTGTTACGGATTTCGGGTGTCTCCGATCCATGTTAATCTGGTCGTAGCCTTTTTAGTCCGGAACTTGCCCTTTGGGATTATCTTCCGTTTCACTTCGAGCTTGCCCGAAATGTCAGTCCCCGGGTTGGGTGGCTGTGGCCTGTAAAGTCGAAGATTGCCTTTAAGGTCTTATGGTGTCGAAATGTTAGCAGTTTGATTCCCTTTGCCTTTAAGGTCTTATATACACGACAAATGTTTTGTATTAATTGGTTGATATAAGCATCATGTGCTAAGTAACTTTTTCACCTTACCTTGTCTTAAACCTTATTTAGATTGAGGACATAGAGGAAAAGCCATCAAGCAGTCCAAAGTTCAGAAACAAGTTCGAAAGTTGAAGCCAAGAGGGTAAGAAGTAAAAACAAAATTGGCTAATTTAATTTCGTGGAGTAGTTACACTTAATTCAATTCTGTGCTGCTTTGTCAGCTTAAATTCCAATTGATTCTTAAGCTGTATTACATAAAAATCAATCCTCTATCAATATCAGCTTTTAGAGTTGGAGAGTACACCGATGAGGAGTAGGCAAAGCCACAAACTTTGGAACTTCATCTCCGGGCATCAATATTGTCAAGCTCTCCCCATTTTTCTGCTTCTGCGCCTAAAACAAACCCCCAATATGCATGCATGAGGAAATTGTATACATCCAGAATTTAGAGGCTATGAATTCTAGGTTAAAAATGAAGGTTCGAAATATATACTATGTATTTAATGTTAGTTTTGAGTCAAAAGTCGTAATTGACCGCATGAAGATATAATTAAATAAATAAAAATATGTTCTATCTAACAGTTTAAACTTTAGATGAAATGTTCAAACACTTCATATAGTATTTGAGTATGTAGGTAAAGGTCATTGAATAATAGAAGGGGAATAGGGATTGGACCGATAGGCTCATTTTAGACCTGAGGACCTAAGCTTTGCTAAAGCCATGAAAAGGAGTGGATGGTTGTATTTTAGCCTAGTTGGACTGGCTCGTCTAATCGAAGAGCCCCTACCTCACTTGTTCACCGTACTAGATACGAAAGAAGGACAAGAGTGGTTCCACTAGCCGATGCTTAAGCGTTAGCCCTTGAGTTCTATTCTCACCGTCATCCATTATGATTAAAAAAAAAAATCATGTCCTTGGCACATAAAAAAAAATTTAAGGCTGCAATTGAGGGGCATGATGAAAACATAATTAAATAAATAAAAGTATGATCTTTCTATCAAATTATTTAATTTTTAGACAAGATAGTCACACACTTCAATATGCTACCTCTTATGAATCTCCTTGGTTCTTGACACCACCAAGTAAACATCCTCCACCCCCCTTCCCCCCCAAACCCCACCACCACAGACACACATCAAAATGGTTAAAAAGAAAATGAAGAGGAAGTATTAACAGTACCTGGATAATTTTAAAAACCGAACCATCAGATGATTGATCATCAAGATGGGTAGCAGACGCCGAAGAGCAAAGAAGGGATCGAAGCTTATTCCAGTGGTAGCAACAAGCAAAGATGCCAGTTATACAGACAAGAACAAGGACAAGAAGAGCTAGACCAAGAGGAAAAGCTATGGTGGGCCGTGAAGAAGTAATTCCCAAGTTATTATTATTACCCATAATATATACGAGTAGTTCAGAATTCAGCAAGCAAGCAATTAATAGTAGAATTTAAGATCAAAATTTGCAGCGAATTAATGGTGGGGATCGAGGAATCTTTATTTAGCTACAAAGATTAAATTGTAAATAGACTTGTTTCCACTAATATATTGGAGTAGTGGAAAAAGACTAGAGGAAAATGAAAAGTACATTCAACCGTACCATGATATATCGTTTGAGATGATGTGATGGGGCACCAAACATTGTGACCTAATTTGTTGGAAGGAATATAGTGGTGAAAGGAATGATCACAAATAGAACCTTCATTGGGTCCAAAAAGTCAAATCATTAGCCACTCAACAATAAAAATGTATTCTTGTGAATCAGCCAGTTAATTTTACGATGTTTAGCTATTATTGATGCTGTAAGGAATTTTGTAAGGAAGTTTTATCAGTCATCTTTACCTGATAACTTGTCTCATATTCAAGATTTCAAATTTCATATTTAACAAAGCTCACATGTATACATTTTTTTAGGTGATTTAATAGGGCAAAAAATTATTTATGATGACATTTTACATAACTTAAACTCTTAATTTACCATATCAATAATTTACATAACTACTAGGCAAGCTGACATTTTCAAAATACTCCCAACATTTAACAGAAAATGAATCAACTAATTTAAAATAATCAAAGTTTTTATAAAACAGGGTAAAAACCCAAAACACAACTGCGGAAAACAACTCCCAAATTCGGGGTGTCACTGAGCTCATGAGCGTCTATACATCACCAGTCTAGAAAAGAAATGTCTATGAAAGTCTGGATCAAAATACAATAAAAGAAAAGGATAAGGAATGAGAAACAAGGACTACAAATGCCGGGCAGCTACCTTGAAGTCTCCGACGATCAACCGTGCGAAAGATCAACACCCACCATGTCCAGAAACATCTGGATCTTCACACGAAGTGCAAGGTATAGTATGAGTACAACCAACTCAGTAAGTAACAATACTAAATAAAGAACTGAAGATAGTGACGAGCTACACAATTATAGTTCATTTCCAGTAGTTTCAACAAGGAAAAATAGACATGCTTTCAATTCGGCAATTTAAGTCAAATCAATTTGTGCAAGCCAAGTTCAAGTAAAAACCGGATATAAATCTCCCAGAAGTTCAAACAGTGATATATGGAAGCTATGTGCAAGAACAATGAAAGCAAATACAACCTCTCAGGACAACAGTCACTCAGACTTCCTCAATAGCTCACACTCGGCACTCAACCCTCAATACTCGCTCTCAATAGGTACCTACGCTCACTGGGGTGTACAGACTCCAGAGGGACTCCTACAGCATATCCCCACGGACAACTCGCGTCTTATAGTATCATATCAGGATCCGCACAGACAACTCACGTGCTACAGTATAAATATCTGGATCCGCACGGACAACTCACGTGCTATGGTATCAATAGATCACAATCAGGCCCTCGGTCTCACTCAGTCAGCAACCTCTATAGTCTGGATCCGCACGGACAACTCACGTGCTATGGTATCAAAAGATCAGAATCAGGCCCTCGGCGTCACTCAGTCATCAACCTCTCTAGTCTCACGGGCTCTCAATAATTATAGAAATTAGCCCAAATAAGGAAGGCCGAGAAACCGCACAAGCTAGAACCCGACTGGGCTCCGATACATCTATTCTCACGAACTGGTTGGCCAAGGCCTGAACATCAACTACAAGAGGTCTCTCACCAACAAGAATGAATGCAAGGCTACCCATACTCACTGCCTTCCTACTCAAGGCATCGGCCACCACATTGGCCTTCCCCAGACGATACAGAATAGTAATATCATAGTCCTTTAGCAGCTCCAACCATCTCCGCTGCCTCAGATTTAGATCCTTCTGTTTGAACAAGTGCTGGAGGCTCCGATGATCTGTAAATACCTCACAAGACACGCCATAGAGATAATGCCTTTAAATCTTCAACGCATGAACAATGGCAGCCAACTCCAAATCATGAACAAGGTAGTTCTTCTTATGAGACTTAAAATGGCGCGAAGCATAATCAATCACTCTACCCACCTGCATCACACACCCGATACCGATCCGAAAAGCATTGCAATACACTGTATAAGAACCAGAAGCTGATGGTAGAACTAGAACTTGAGTTGTGGTCAAGGCAGTCTTGAGCTTCTGAAAGCTCTCCTCACACTCATCCGACCACCTGAAAGGAGCACCCTTTTAGGTCACTTTGGTCAAGGGCGATACAATAAACGAGAAACCCTGCACGAAGCGACGATAATAACTAGACAAACCAAGAAAGCTCCGATTCTCCGTAGCTGAGGACGGTCTAGGAAAGCCAACTCTGAACCGCCTCTATCTTCTTCGGATCCACCTGAATACCCTCACTGGACACCATGTGCCCCAAGACGACACTGAACTGAGCCAAAGTTCACACTTGGAGAAGTTGGCATAAAGCTTCTCCTCCCTCAACCGCTGCAATACAATGCTCAAATGTTGGGCATGCTCTTCCTGGCTACTAGAGTACACCAGCATATCATCAATGAAAATAATGACAAACGAGGTGAGATAAGGCTGAAATACAATGTTCATCAAATTCATGAACGTTGCTGGGGCGTTGGTCAACCCAAAAGACATCACAAGGAACTCATAATGACCATACCGGATCCTGAAAGCTGTCTTAAGAATATCCGAGTCTCGAATCTTTAACTGGTGATACCCAGACCTCAAATCAATCTCGGAGAACACCCTCGCTCCCCGAAGCAGATCAAATAGATCATTAATACGCTGGAAAGGATACTTGTTCTTGATTGTTACTTTGTTCAACTGTCTATAATCAATGCACATTCTCATAGTACCATCATTCTTCTTCACAAACAGAACCGGTGCACCTTAAGGTGATTCACTAGGCCTAATAAACCTCTTTTCAATAAGTTCTTGAAGATGCTCTTTCAACTCTTTCAATTCAGCTAGTGCCATACGGTACGGAGAAATAGAGATGGGCTGAGTGCCCGGCACCAAGTCAATACCAAAATCAATGTCCCTATCGGGTGGCATGCCCGACAGGTTTGCAGGAAACACATCTGGGAAATCTCGCACCATCGGAACAGAATCAATAGTAAGGGTCACAACACTAACATCCCTCAAAAAGGACAAACAAGATAAACAACCCTTCATAATCATCCGTTGGGCCTTCAAGTATGAAATCACTCTACTAGGAACATAGTCTAGAAAACCTTGCCACTCAATTTGTGGCAACCCCGGCATCACCAACGTCACGGTCTTAGCGTGACAATCCAGAACAGCATGACATGGAGACAACCAGTTCATACCCAAGATCACATCGAAATCAACCATACTAAGCAACAAGAAATCAACTCTTGTCTCCAATCCCCAATAGTCACTACACATGATCGATATACATGTTCCATAATAATAGTATCACCCACCGGCGTAGATACATGAATAGATGAAACTAGGGACTCACGCGACATATCCAGATAATGAGCAAAATATAATGATACATACGAATAGGTGGAACCAGGGTCAAATAATACAGAGGCACCCCTGTAGCAAACAGAGAATACTTGTGATCACTACATCTGAAGCAATGGCATCTGGTCTGGCGGGAAGAGCATAGAATCGGGCCTGACGACCATCTGATAAGCCTCCCCCTCTAGGGCGACCTCTAGCTGACTGGGCCCCACCCAAGCTGGCTGAGCGAGTGGTGTAGTTGTTGTTGCTGGTGCTGGTGCCATCGACCGAGAACTCTGTTACTGAGTCCCACTCAACAACCTAGGGCAATCTCTCTTGATATGACCAAGATATATACAGTCGAAACAACCCCTCCTCTGACGGAACTGCTGCTCCTGATATCCCAAGGAACTACCCGTAGAAACCTGAGTGGACGAGGCATGGTGAGAACTCTGCTCTGGTAGTGCACTGAATGAAGACTGGCTTGAGAGAGCACTATAAGAGCCGTGGCTAACTGATGCACCACGATGAGCTGGTCGAGCCGTCTGAGCATGCCTGTAAGGACGACCTCTACCTTAGTGGAACTGACACCTGGAAGGAACACCACTAAAACCACCCGATCCACGAGGCCTCTCGGCCTCCCTCTCAGCCCGCTCCTGGCTGCAGACCATCTCTATATGCCGGGTAATGTCGACTACCTCATCAAAAGTAGCACCAGATACCCTCTCTCGAGTCATAAGCAACCGCAGCTAATATGTGAGGCCATCAATGAACCTCCCGATCCTCTCCCTATCAGTGGGAACCATCCAAATCGCATAACGGGCCAGCTCAAAAAACCTTATCTCGTCCTGCGTCACAGACATATCATCCTGACGTAACTGCTCAAACTGTCTGCGCAGCTCCTCTCGGCGAGACTGCGACACGAACTTCTCCAAGAAGAGAACAGAGAACTCCTGCCATATAAGTGGTGCTGCACCAACAGGCATGCGCCTGTCATAAGACTCCCACCATCTAAAGGCAGCCCCATAAAATTTAAAATTAGTGAACAAGACCCCACTAGTCTCCAAAATACCTGTTGTACGAAGAATTCTCTGACACTTGTCTAAGAAACCCTAGGCATCCTCCGACTCTGCCCCGCTAAAAGATGGAGGCTGGAGCCTCCCGAACCTCTCCAATCTCTGCTGCTCATCATTAGTCATAGCCTAACCACATGGGCCTGAGCAGCTGCAACCGACTAGGCTGGTAGTGCCTCCGGTGTCTGGAGTCCCTGCATCACTTGCTCTGTTGTGTGGGTGGCGGGAGTCTGAGTAACTCCCCCGGCCTGAGAAGTGGCTGCTGCAGTCGAAACTGCGACCGCCTGAGCAAGACTGGTGCACATGGTCAAAAACTGAGCTAAGGCCTCCTGATGGGCTGGGATGGCATAGCTGGTGCCTGAGCTGGCCCCACTGACTCAACTGTATCAGGGACCTTCTCCTGAGATGGAGTGACTGGTTGGTCTGCAGGTGTACGAGCTACGCCTTTGCCACTACTGCGACCTCTACCACGACCTCGGCCTCTCGCGGCCCTAGCTGGTGGTACTGGTGGCCGTCCATCCTTCCCAGTAGTACGTGTCCTCACCATCTGTGAGCGAATAGAATAACATAAGTTTAGTTACTAGAATCAACAGATTCGCGTGACAAGAATTCAA